AATAATATTTTATTAATTATATTATTAATATTTTGGTAATATTAATAAAATAACATATACTTAAATTAATATATATAATATTAATAATTTTGTAATATATATAAATTTTATAATTTATTAATATATAATAATATTTTATTATATATAATATTAATTTTTAATATAATATTAAATTTATATATAATATTAAATGATTATATATTATTATATTAATTTATATAATATTAAATAGAAAAATGGCAGAAAAGAGCAGTTTTACAGCTATATACAAGCTATTATATGTATATATAGGACAAATTCATAGGACAAATACATATGCAATTGCATCTATATATTGAAACGTACTTTTACATAAATATAAACAATTTGGTGCAAGGTTATGTAAAACTTGTATGAATATTATTAAGTAATAAATGAGACGATAAAAGTTGTTTTTGATAACGTCACGCGCCTGAATAAGCTCATGCTAGTGCAAACGCATAGGTGGTATATCATAAAGTGTGTTGAGCTTACGCAAGAACAATAATATCCAATGTAATAATCGAATCACAAAAATAGATAAAAAAAAAAAATTACAAACTAGAAGGGTTAAGTAATCGAACAATAACGTAAATATCGATCGATGTAAAACAAGGAGTCAAAGATAACGCAACTATTAATATCCCTTCTTTTTTTTTCTTTTAAATTCTTTTTTTTTTACTTTTGTTTGTCCTTCTTCTCTACCACCCACCCCCACCATCTCATCTTGGTACTATTTATCACTAAACGTTCGTCAATGGTCTTTGAGCATCGTTTCGTGCAAACAAATGTTCTATTTTCAAATCCCCGAAGGTTACCCTAGTCGATTTTAAAGTAACGCGCATTTCCGGGATTTCTCAGAGTGTGTGCTGGGGGTGGGATAAAGTTGAATTTATCGATCCATCGATCAATCGATAAATCCTGACAAATCGGTTTAAACAAAATACGAGATATAATAAAATGCATGATAATATTCGGTTCCGGTTCTTAAATGTTTTCATATGAGGGTCACCTATATACATATATACATATATATATATATTTTTTTTTTGTTAATAATACAAACATGTATGCGTAAGTATAAGTGAAAGATTGAACATACGATCATCGCATTTGTTTCAATACCAACAAACGCACGTGCGCATAAAGCCTATCGTATTAACGTAATCATTTATGAGTATATATGTATAAGTGTGTATGTGTGTGTGTAATAATGTATCTACACGCGATTGGCGCTTACGTCAAGGGCGACCTCGACTTTCCACCGTTTCTAATCTACGCGAGAATCAGACGAGAGACAAGCTTTCACGTTGCTTGCCTAGTTGCTAGAAATTACAGATATAGTCGAACGATTCTTGCCTTCATACGAAACACCACCACTGTTATCAACACCAATACTACTACAACCTATTTAAATTTAAACGTTTTCCTTTTCTCGTTCGATACATTTTTCATCCCCCTTTTCGTTTACCCCAAAACACCTGTTCT